TTGCTGCTCAGCTGGCTGGGTTTATGGCATCTCTCTTGATTGATGTACCCAGTCAAGCCCACTGGATCGTTGAGTTGGCAAAATATGATTTTGGAGGTGCAACAGGACATCTCGTAGCTTCAGTTCCTGGAATTCACCTTAACAGAACTTCCATCATATCAGAATCCTCGCAATCCTCACCTGTGGGCACTCAAATTTATTTTGCTTGTCATGGAGAATTCTTTATAGATATAACTAGAATCTGTTTGGTGTTCTTTTAAGATTTTTATTCTGCATCCTGGTTGTATACTGCTGGGTTGAAATATTGTCCTTTTTAAATTTTACCTTTTGACCTCTCTATGTTGAAGTTTTTTCTTTTTTCTTTTTTTTTTTAAAAAGAAAAATTAACTCTGATACTAACAGCATCACCAATCATATGATTATTTGATGACTTTTAGTTAAATATATGTTCTGGATTGGATTTTTGATATGCATCATTTGACTCAAGTGGGGGGCTAATCAATGTGAATTATGAATGTTAAGTCTTTAGGTTCAGTTGTGGCATCTGTGGTTGGCATAAGACACCTTTACCAGACAGCAGCAGACTCGAAAGGTGCAAGATTGAAAACACTGGCCAATTTCCTTGGAAATTCTTGTAGGAGTTCCCATGGAAAGTTGGAGATTGTTTTAAGAAGAAATACCAATATACCTGCTGATGCAAATGCTGTCAGTGTTCTTGTTCCTGATCCTGATAGAACATTTTCTGGAGGTATAACCTACACTGCTTGAATTTGATACGTGGATAATCCTGGGAATTCTTTATTCCACCATGTGTACTATCCTGTTCTTACTATGGTTTTCAAGTTTAATTTTTCCTTCCACTGTGCTTATATGTATGTTTTAGCTAGTGACTCTGGATGCTGTAGATGACTGAAATAGGTATCTCTCTCTTTTGCACTTCCTGTAGAATATGTCCAACTTGGTTTTTTGCCTAGAAATATAGCCCAATGGGTCTCTCCTCTTTGGGATGCTGGATTCTTCAGGTTTTCTGGGTATGTCTGTCCAAAAGAGGCACTTGCAGCTGCCTTAGGAGAAAACAGCAAAAAAGTACAACTGATATTATATGTGTCAGAGGTATATTGGCTTGGCTGTGTCTTCCTATAGGTTTTAATATTGGTCTCCTTCCCTGTACTAGAATGGCATGATATTGGTATAATTTTACGAACTTGTGCAGGGTCAACATTTTGTTGATATGGCAAAGATGATGCAATTTGAACACATCATTGCCTTCAGCTCACTCATGGCTTCAATCCAAAGATCTTATGGCCTCAAGAGATTGCAAGAGGTGATTTGTAGTGTGAGAACGTCTTGTGCATTGACTCTTGCTGCTGCTTCTTGATGTAGAACAGTAGAGGCAAAGGGGAATTATGAGAGGGGGGGGGGGAATGCAAGACAACTAATGTTCTTCAATTGGTCCAAAAAACTTAGAACAATGTAAGAAAGTAGAATGAGTAAAAATCCTAAAGATGCATAAAAAGAAAGTATATCTAAAGTAGAGCTCTTATGCGAGGAATAATTTTCTTCTTCTTTTTAATTTCCCATCATTGCTCTTGCGTATCATGAGCTAATTGAAGCATTCTCTGATTATGTTTGATCTGTTCTCATATTTTTACTTGTCTGTAGGATTGCAAATCTTTTCTTCTTTTTCACTCAAAATGCTGAACAGTCCTTGCATGAATTAGTGCTTTTGTTACAATAACTTTTGAAAGACCCAGTTTTTTATCTTTTATATTATCTTTTGCTAGGTTCTGAATCGATATAGATGGCCTGAATCATCAGAGTCTGATTTTATATATGGTAAGTTCATTTTGCCAGGGTTTTTGTTTTTGTTAATAATCGGATACTATACCTACCTTTTTCCATAACACCTCAAAATTGAGTTGAACTTTTTTTCCCATCCTTTTGGACCACATCGGTTGATCCTTTTCAGGTGCATCTTCAATTGGTTCATCTGTCAGCCCACAATTTCTTGCTGCATTTTCAGGTGCTACTGGGAAAAAATCATTGCAACATTTTGATTCAGAGGAGTCTGATCCTGAGGTGATTTTAATACCTTCGCTCTTTCTTTAGACCTGACTGAAAAGTATTATCTATTTTCTGCCAGATGCATTTTTTTATTTACTAATTTATTGGTCTAATGATTTTTTGGACAGTGGGGTTCTTGGAATGCTGGAGAAGAATTGAAAAACCCTTCCATTAGGATCATTTTCCCCACTATTGAAAGAGTGAAGAATTCCTGTAATGGGGTTTTGCCTTCAAAACGTATTCTTTGCTTCTCAGAGGTAATCTGATAAGTTGATCAGCTTAACTCACTGAAATGAATGAAGTCATAGGCTGTTCCTAGGAATGTATTTGTTTAGTTGCAAATACATTGTCTGTGTTGTTTTTTTGAAGATTTTTCTATACATACGACCAATAGTCTTGGCTATTGGGTATGGGCTAAGACATCCTGGTGAGAGAGAGGCAGAGCCAATCGATTTTGAAAGGATTCTCATATTATAATTATACGTATTATCTTGGGTGGGTTTTAAATCCGCTTAGGTTTTTGTTCCTCGTTCTGTATTTTTGAAAGTGAATTGTAATAATGTAATTTGCATTAAAGATGTTGTCAATGAAGAATTGATTGTCCACTTTTGATCAGAGAACGTGGCAAAGGCTGAAGGCTTTAGATATACTTCATGATGCCATTCCTTATCCTGATGATAGAACAGGCCATCCAATGCATGTCAAGGTAACTATCTCCGCCCGTATTTGGATGATTAAATTGTTTGTTTGGATAATATAATCACTTCATATTAGGTGGTGTATAATTGTATAGTCAATTGGCAGGGGGGGGGGGGGAAGGAGTCTACGTGAATTCATGTTATATGCATGAACGGGGACCCTTGCAGTGATAGGAATAAAGCAGGGATTGACAGAGATTCACGTTTTTCTCTTCTATAATATCAACATCCATATAAATTAGAAAATCTATAGCATCCTATTTACAATCTTTAAATATTGCAACTCATTTTTTTTCACACTCTGTAATGCGTGGAACACACCTGTTATTGACTTATTTTGTAACTTACGTATGATATGATCTCCTTTTCCTCTACGTCCTTCTCAAATTAATATGAGCAGGTAATACGGAGAAGATTCTTGTCTGGCGGGGTTGCACCTTCTGTTGGTTGGGTGTATTGTGGGTCGCATAATTTTAGTGCAGCTGCCTGGGGACGGCAAATTTCAAGTCCGTTTGGTACGAAAGCTGAAGTAACAAAAAAAGGGAATTCTTCTCTAGACTCTGGGCTCCATGTTTGCAATTATGAACTTGGGATTTTGTTCACTTTTCCAACAGAAGATCATGATACTTCAAATGTTAGAAGCACAAACTTGGACGATATAGTTCTGCCGTTTGTTGTGCCTGCCCCCAAGTATGGATCTAGAGATAGACCAGCGACCATGCAGGCTATGAGAGAGGCGATGGCTGAACTTTCTGAGCCCCGCGAGGATTATCATGTTGAAGATGAAATTTTGGAAGAAATTACTGAGGGAGAGGAAGAAATGGAGGCAACAGATTTTGCGACAGTGGAGAAGGAAGAGGAGAAGGCCTATGCTGAGATACTCTGGAATCAGGTTGAGTCGCCCCAGAGCCGCTGAAGTCCTGCAAGAAGCAAACATTGAGAGAAAATAGTGATGATTGTGAAGCTGTAAATATATTTGATGCCCAGTGTGGTTTACTTTGTATTATGCTTTTTTTTTTTTTAATTTGTGACTATCAAGTGATTTATCGTAATAAAGAGACAATGTAACATATTGATTGTATTTCTCTCAATCCTTTTTTATTGTTACTAAAAGTGTTTTTACTTATCTGTCATTTTAAAGTTTCGAAACAAAATCAATTACTATATATTCAAATGTATTTGTATCTTTACTTTAAAGCCTACTTCCAATCCAATTGTACCTCTATTTCTATTTTCACCTTCACTTCCTTCAAAAATTTTTACGCATGAATGATCACTTGATGACATGGAAATTTTCCTGTGAATGGGAAGCCGTAGATTTAATCCTGCTAATTTCAAGTTGTTTGTCTTTTTAATTCAAAATAAATAAATAACCAGTTTTTCTAGGGGAAGGAGAAAAACGAATGACATATTATTATAGTTTTGTTTTATTTGATTTTTTGAAAAAGAATTGAACCAGTCAGAAATAGCCCAATCTCTTAGACGAAAAAAATAAAAAAACCAGTTCTCCTTTTACAATTTGCACTATTTTTTCAAGAAAAGAAATCTAAGAAAAAAAATCAAAATATTAGATAAACTGCTCTGAAGCAAGGTTATTTTTAGTGTCCCCCCCCCCCTCCCAAAAAAAAATTCTTAGAGTTTCCTAGAGGTTGACTCGTTAATACTTATGAATAATTTTGACTAAATTTTATATGATATTTACATATAATATAGACGCACATTTCATTATCAGAAGACATATTTTGTCAATAGTCATAAATATATGGAAATTCAGGCATACAACTTTTCTAAAGGATAGATGATTTATATTCATAAGCAAACTATGGAAGTTCAAGCAAACTAATTACTAATTGATTTATAATTATCTGTCCATAAGATTCCACAGTTGCCTTGACTAGACGGCCGAGAATAACGTCTTGTTCAAGGACGGACGTCAAAAGAAAGAAAGCATAAGCACGGGGGAGTCATTTTCTTTTCTTTTCTTTTCTTTTTCCTTTAAAAAATAATTTTTTAACTTTCTTCTTTTTTTTTGGCCAAATAATTTTTTAACTTTCAGGATACGTTTTATATGCCCATGCCTTTTTCTTTCCTCTCTCAGAATGTGTGTTTTCCACTTTGTATTTTGTAGTCTTATGAATCAAATTGCATAATAATTTCAAGTCCGAAAGACTTCGCCGCCCTTAAAAGCCTCGGTCTTTCCCTTGCAACTTCCTTGTCACGCATATTTTGCTCTCCCTGTCTTTCCCTCACTTCACTCCTTGCTACTCAAGTGGCGCGTGCTACATACTCGCCGGCGGAGTCTTCCCTCTTCTACGGGCGATCGGCTTAGGTTACTAGGTACTTACTTTGAACTTTGTTTATTTCTTGCTTGTGCATCATTCGTCTCTGTGTAAGTTCCTATCCATTGCGTCTTTGAGCTGGTCTGATGTTCGCCTTTTATTTGTGAATGGTCATGATAAAATCGGAATAATCGCGAGTACAATCGTCGTTTTTATTATCTGCATTGGTTATTGGATGTTTACTGGGAGCACTTGTAGGTGAAGCTCTTGTTTGTTTGCATGCTTATGTAAAGTATGGATTAAATATATTGAAAACACGAAATCTTAAATTTCTGTTCACTGTCCTCGCCAAACTTGGAGATTTTTTCTGCTATCGCTGTTTTAGTTCGACCCGTAATTATAATATGAAATACGGTTTGAATTTAGTAAAACTTTTAACAACAGGATCTGCTGCAGTAAAGGGATAATCTGGAACTTAAATTGTTAATTGATATTCAGGACTAAAGGGCGACATTCCTTCTTTCTTATTATGAATGATGAACTGAGTTAATTGATATCATATCATATTTTCTTCTATTTTTTTTAATTCCATATGTAATTGATTTGTTCTGTCTTTATGCTTGACTAACAACAATCATCATGGTCCAGTGGGAAGCGATTAGAAGGATGAGTTCAAAAAGAGGGAGTGGAAGGCAGTTTACTGCAACAGATGATAATGAATCGTTGTCCAAAGGGAAAAGCATATCTGAATCTAACCCGAATACTGAGCAGTTGTCTCAAGGTGTTGCTGATGTTAACCTAGACTCGGAACAAGACGGTGGATGGGAGGTATATGGAAGGAAGTCCAAGAACAGAGCTGGAAGCAGTGCTGCAAAACCATGGGGTCCTCCAATTCATAATTCTAACCCCAGAGCACGGGGTAATACAGATGTGACTCAAAAGCCTGGCCTTCGGAATCATGCAGGAGCTGGACGGGCTTCTGGGAATCCCTGGCAGCCACATAATGCTAACTTTAGGAAACCTACTGGCACAGGAAATGCAAGACCCCAGATATCTACTAGTGGTTCTGAAAGTACAAATATGACTCCAAATCCTTGGATTCGCCCTCCATTGGAGCATGGGTGGAATTGGCAATCTAGAGGTGGTTCAATGCAGCCTAAAACGTATCCCCAAGGAGAAAATGAAATCACTTCAGAGTCCCCTGAGATGAATAATGATATTGATGATGAGGGGGAGGATGATTCTGATGCTCTGGAAGATACTGATGATGATCTAATGAGTGATGAGTATGAATCGGATAGCAGCCAAAAGAGCCACGAGACTAAGAAGAAGAGCAAATGGTTTAAGAAGTTTTTTGAGATGTTAGATAGCTTGACTGTTGAAGAGATCAATGAACCGGAAAGGCAATGGCATTGTCCAGCTTGTCAAGGTGGCCCTGGTTCTATTGATTGGTATAGAGGACTGCAACCACTGATGACTCATGCCAAAACAAAGGGGTCTAAAAGGGTTAAGGTCCACAGGGAACTTGCATTGCTTTTAGATGAAGAGTTGCGCAGAAGAGGTACTTCAGTGATTCCTCCTGGTGAAACTTTTGGTAAATGGAAAGGTTTAAAAGATGAGGAGAAAGATCATGAAATAGTTTGGCCTCCGATGGTTATCATTCAGAATACAAGGCTTGAACAAGATGAAAATGAGAAGGTATAGCTATATTTCCTTATTTCTGTCTGATATTGATTTATATTTGATATTATAATCAATACTATGATATTTCATATTAATAATATTGCATCACATTCTTAACCCTTCTGAAAAAAAAAGCTTGTTTTTGTGTTTAGTGGTTAGGTATGGGTAACCAGGAGCTTCTTGATTATTTTAGCTCATATGGTGCTGTGAAAGCTCGCCACTCCTATGGTCCACAGGGTCATCGTGGAATGAGCCTTTTGATTTTTGAGGCCTCAGCTAGGGGTTATTTTGAGGCGGAGCGTCTACATAAGCATTTTATAGATAATGGGACTAATAGAGATGCTTGGTTCAGAAATCACCGAATTTTATTTCTTCCTGGAGGGAATCGCCAGCTTTATGGTTATATGGCTAATAAAGAGGACCTAGACTTTTTCAACAAGCATTCCCAAGGTTTACTTCCGTCGCCTTTTCATTTGCACTCTCCTTGACACACATACATGTCTATACGTTGCAGATTCACCATGTTGTTTCCATGGAGACACAAATGTGCTGACATTGTCGTCTTGTCATGCTTTTTTCTCTGGAATCATATAGGTAAATCGAGACTAAAATATGAGTTGAGGTCATACCATGAGATGGTAACAAACCAAATTCGGCAAATGAGTGAGGACAACCAGCAGCTTGTCTATTTGAAAAACAGGGTTGTCAAAGAAAAAGAGCATGCAAGGGCTCTTGAGGAATCTTTTGGTAAGGTTACTGAGAAGCTCCATAAGACTATGGAGGAAAATCGCATTGTGAGATTGAGAACCAAAATGCAACATGAGGAAAACAAGGAAGAGGTAAAAAATGAGACAGACTTAATGTTGAATTTCAGGGGAGCTAGTTTTCGGCTCCCCCCGCCCCCCAAAAGAAAAAATGCAACACTCGCCTAGTAATTTCTTGTTGTTGCTCTTTTCTGACAGAAAAATTCTTACCATTGTGGTTATTTTTGTCTGACTATTGTAACCTTTTTCATTGGAAGATGAACCTGCAAGAACAATTTTTTAAGGAGCAGATGACAGTGATTCATGAATCAAGGAATGCTATGGAAGAAGATTTTGAGAGGATGCAGCAAGAAAAACGTGAGAAGGTGAAGGAGTCCAGTACAAGTTCTATAGATGCAGAAGAGCGGAGGCGCAGGTATGAGGTGTCTGAGTTCAAGTTCATGAATTGCTTATGTGATGTGATAGTGGTATTTTAGTTATCCAACTAAATATCATGGAAAGCAGTGGGCAATTCAGATTTGGATGTACCTAGACAAATTAAAAAAGAAAAATTCTTGTGACTGAAACAGACATTTGGATGAGCAAGGTTTATGTGCATATGCAATCCGCTTTTTTTCCACCAAAAAGATAATCCAGTATTTTTGCTCATGTGATGGGTTCTTTTTTTTTTTTTGAACAGTGACCACGGATAAATTTGGTTTCTTTGAATGTAGGGCTGACGAATATCTGAAATTTGTGGAAATACAAGACCAAGAAATGGAAAGCTTCGTAGCAGAAAAGGAGACATTGTTGAAAGCTCACGAGGACAATCTGGCTGCAATGAGGCGGAGGCATTGGGAGGAGGAGGTTGAGATGGAGAAGAAGTTTGATGAAGAATTGGCCAAACTCATGGAAAAATACTCCCCATCTTGCCGCGACACCATTTCGTGATGCCATGGCTGGGTCATACGTAAACGCATACAGACACAGATAGGCACAGCGAAATAGATAGGAAAGATTATATAGACGGAGTCTGTTCTTTCTGGACGGCCCCGGGCTCAGCTTTTTTCTTTCTCTTTTAGCGAACAGACTACAGCCTTCTTCAGTCTCGGGAACGTTGGACTTGAGTTTTCGTGCTGTCTTTACTTTTGTCTTTTGAGAAAGCCGAGCAGAAACTAGAAAATGACGGTGCGTCTCTGTTCTGTTACTTGGCATTTGTGGATGTGTTGTGTTTGATTTTTACCGCCCTTGCATTTGCGATGAGCCTTTCTGTTTCTGCTAAAATCTAATTTGATTTTAAGTATTTTGATATAAAACATGTGTATAAGTGTATAATAAGAATGTATAATATTTCAAGTCAACGATAGATACGAACGTTTTTTTTAAAAAAAAAAAAATTTCAAACACGCTGGTGGAACCAAGTATGATAGAATTTATACTTATTAAATCTAACGAAGTTAAATTAAAATTATTACAATGTAGCAAAGCTAAAGTGTAAGCAATTTAAAATTGAATAAAAATATTTTTACCAATAAAACCAATACGACCTGAGTCTTTGTTGCTTTGGAAATGGTTGGTCATGCTGATAAAGAGTGTTTGAATCTCATACCTTTCATCCCTGAGCTGACCTTCCTGATCCTTTTTAATTTCTTGCTTTACAACAACTCGTTATTCATTTAGCTGTTCTGGCTTAATATTAAATCAATAATGAGCAGAGGGTTTTATGTGGCTTTTACCAAGTTTGTCAAGTTCTTCCTGATTGAAGCGACGCTTCAGTATTTATATGAATTGAGACCTTTTATGTTTTCAAAAATCCTTGTTAATAACTCACAAGAAATATCATTCCGTTTTATATCTTTTACATCTACCCCTTGTTATATATAAGCTGCACTTTGAAAAATCTATCGCTAGAAGAACTGTTGCGATATATGTGGAGGTCATAGACTTGTTGACGGCCCAACTGGATCCCAAAACCAGTCAACCGCTTATCTTAAATACAGCCTAACGCATAACATAACCTTCATAATCCTTGGTCCTTAGCGCCTTTTGTTTTTCTTTTTGCCATCTTGGCCTTTGGTCAACAAGACTCTCAAACCCAAATGCACATTATTTTTTTTTTTTTTTTGGAAAAAGAAACACAGCAGTCAAATATTCAACTTGAATCTCATAAATTCAATATTTTTAGAGACTTTCAGTTAAGACAACTTATTTTGGGCAGTCAGTAGAACGAAAATGGTTTTAGTCGTAACAAACTCTCGATGTGGAGAAGCAAATGCCAGCACTACTTTCTGAGGTCAAACATTTGTTGCCCCTAACTGCCTTGCACGTGTGTGTGTGTATATATGTACCAAAAAATTTATAATGTCCTTAGGTCGTTCTCCTTCTCATTTACCATTCTGATTTCTCTCTCTCCCCCCTCCTTATTCCTCACAAACTGTGGTCTCTCTCTTTCTAAGACGGAAAGAATCACACGTCTGAAGGTCGCAAAAACCCATTAAGGTTGGCAAAAACATATAATCAATACATGAGAAGTTACTTGCTAAATGACACATGATTTTCTTGTCTGTTTCGCCAGATTATTTCATTGATTTCTAGTTTAATTTTGATTTAATTGTAGAATGGGGTTTTCATATTCTCATGTCTGAGTTAATTTCCCTCTTTCGTCGATCATAGTCTAATTATGGAAGTTGCAGGTGGCCATAAATCTAATCACCAAACATAAAACGGAACCATGAAAACCGAACCATTAACAACAATTGTTCAGACAAACACAAATTCGTTCAGAGACGTCGTACAGCGACTGACAAGCCCATCAGATTGCACAACACAATCAGAGGCAGCAAAACCTGCTGGGACGAAGAAGACAGCATCCAAACTCCATGAAAGGAGACAATATACGAGGCCCAAACTTGAGATAGTAAAACCTTCTTTTTACTATAAATCAGGCGCATCACCCAAGAACCGTTCTAGTTTTTCACCCTCCAAGTCAAGAGATTCTTCTTGCTTTCCTTCAAGTCCCATTTCGGGGAATTCAAATCAGATACCGAGTCCCAAAACCCCTTCAACAATTTTTTCTCGATTGACCATTCTAGAAGAAGAAAAGAAAGAAGAGTTAGCAATACCTGAACTAAACTTAGAAGAAGAAGAGAAGGCTATCAAAGAGAGGCGGTTTTACTTGCATCCATCTCCACGGTCTAAGCCAGGATATACTGAACCAGAACTACTTGCTTTATTTCCTTTAGTATCTCCTAATACAAGTGGGGCAGTGTAATTTTAATCATCCCAGTTTCTACTTTGCACCTTTCCAATCTTCATATTAGAGATATCTTGAAATCATGTGGCAAGTGTACTTTGAATAAGTGAATAAAATTTGGGATTTATGTCTTTTTCCCCTTTTACTAATCTCAAAACAAGTATTTAATTAAATATTTATTGATATTACCAACAACAAAAAAACAGAAATTTTGGCTGGTGTTACAACAAATCTTTTTCCAACTACTGCAAAATATTTTATTGCTTGAAAAATATATCAATTTTATATTAAAACTCGATCAGTGAACAACAAATAATCTTATTTTTTTAATCTAAATTAGAAATATCTAAGCCAGCATTTATTAATAATTTTAATATATACTCCATTTTCATTTGGGTATTCCACTGGGGTTGTGATAACCTGGTGGCCCGGGGGCATTGGTTGCAGAAAGGCGACGAATTGGGCAGAAACAGAGACCATGGACGTGGATTCTGTGAAGAGGTACTTCAAATTAGATGAAAGAAACGAAATTGAATCAGTGGTTAATGAGCTGCCTCCCAGATTCTTGGAACCCCTTGTCTTGAGTGGCCTTCGCGTCGATCTAATCGAGCCAGGCCGTGTCGTATGCTCCATGAAGATACCCCCTCGTTTACTGGTATGAATTTCTCTCCCACACTTTTATTACCCCATTTCTTCTCTCTCCCACGCTGGCAAGCCGCAACTTGCACCTAACGCACGCTCCTCACTCACTCATGACCTTTACATAAATCCGATGATCCTTATTCGCAAAGGTGTTATTCTATAGCTGCTTTTTTTCAACTTCTTCTTTTTCTTATCTAATGGATTTTCCGAAATGCCTAAGAATTCTCACAAATCATTGCACGGAGGGGCAACGGCGACGATGGTGGATTTGTTGGGTTCAGCTGCTATTTACTCCGCGGGAGCTCCGGAGGTGGGAGTTTCTGTGGAGATCAACGTGACATATTTAGATGCTGCGTATGCCGATGTGAGTATGTTATCAAATATGATTTGCCGTTGAATTGATGTCCAACACTTATTTAATGGTTGCTTTGCCGCTTATATGGACTGGGTTGCTTATTTGTAAGCAAGAAAAGGCTTTGGTGAAAGCTTTTAGTTTATTGCTCTTGTTACTTCACTACAATAGTCCGCATCTTATTCCACCGGCCTAACTATATTACTATTAAATCAAACCAGAGGTCCTAAGTACCCCATATTCCTGAGGTTCTCTCGGTGCTTTGTCTTTAATTGTTTTAGAATATCCTCCAAAACCTCTACCTTTCACCTCTACCTTTCACTGTAAGTAAATAAAAGTATTTATATCCTCAAAAATCCGTTGGACTCTGCTTCTATCCCCCTCTCCCCACCCCCCTCCCCAAAAAAAAAATTCTTATTAAGTCGCACAGCTCTGCTGAACTGGAAGATGAACCATACATTTGTCTTGTCTAGCCATAATTCTAAGAGGCCCCTTTGGTAGATAAAATATCGTTATGAAAATAACTCTAGGAGCAGAGAAAATAAGAGAATTATGAGTGCAGCTCAGAGCATGGCTGAGGAAATGTTGAGTTTTCCCGATTCATTTCCATCGGAGGTTAACCTTTTGCAAGCTAACAGCCCTGCAAGAATGCAAGCCGTGGCCCCTTGATTTTTTTTTACTGCAGAGAGAATTTTTACGTTCCTGGTTTCTTAGGATCGATTTTGTGTGAAATGGAAGATATCAGTCTAAGAGGATTTCTTTCTTTGTTTATTTTCTTTTTGGTCCAATGTTGCGGTAGGAGGATATTGAGATCGAGGCCAGGGCTTTACGTGTTGGCAAGGCTGTTGCTGTAGTCACCGTAGAGTTCAGGAGGAAGAAGACGGGCAAAGTTTTTGCAATCGGTCGTCATACCAAGTATCTTGCAATCACTAGTAAACTTTGAGAGGGAGCAAATAAACCTCTCTGAAGTCACTTTGGGCAATGATGCCTCCCTAAACTTTGAATCTTCCCACGCCTCTAGGTGTTGGCTCTCTTGTAAAAGATTATTGTAATATTCTTCTGTTTTAGATTTTATCGTGATCATTAACAACAGCTGTTTGCAACGTAGACGCATCTCTTGCTTCATTTGCTTCTACAGAGATGCAAGGCATTATTTTACTCGTAAAATATTTGAGCAGTAAATGTGACAAGTTTTAATATTCGTTTAGAATGGCAGTAAGCAGCTTTTCTACAAGGTAAGTTTGTGAACAGAATTATGTTTTGTTTCACATAAACATGTTTATGAATCTTTATATTGAGCAACTCCAAACAAGCACAAGCATTTGAGTTTGTTATTTTAAAAAGTATGCACTATTGGATGCTTCCAGATCAAGATGCAGGCAGAGGCAATCAACATTGCCGGGGGTTAAAAAAAAAAAAAAAAAACCTTCCGTCTCATATTCCTTCTAAATGCGATGGACGGCTTTAGTGCTTCTGAAGGTGCAATAACCTTTGATTACAAAGTGAACAGACATTAGCAAAGGCTATATGCTGACCCCCTTCAGGCGATGCATGGGCATGGCCGGTGAACACTACGCACCCACTCGAATCTCAACAATGGACAAAAAATAATTCAAATGATGAGTTTTTTCAACTAACACAAAATTTGGTCATAGTTGAAATTTACACCTTAAGTGTTCTTTCCAAAATATATAAATACCAACTAATTTCCCCCTAAGCTAACCATTCACGATGTCACTAGAGCCGGTGCCTATCAATCCCAGAGCATCCCTGAAATTTAGTGTGTTTCTCATGGTTCGCCTTCCAATCCCTCCATTACCCATCCTCATCATTGCAGCGAATTCCGCATAATCTATTTGTCCATCCTGCACAACAAATTTTCCATTAATCTAATCAAACAAGTTGGCAACCTACGAAGTTTCTAGTTCTGCAATGGCAGACACACGTAATGATGCCAGGCATATCATACAGAAGGCACATGTGCTTAGTGCAAGAAACATGAAAAAGGGTAAATACTCACATTGTCTTGATCAATTTCTTTAATCATTTCATCAATATGGACATCGCCTAAGCCAAATTCCTTACAGGCTTGTTGAATCTCATCAATGGTTATGTAACCACTACCGTCTTTATCAAAATATGAGAAAGCTGACAACAGGTTTTCCTCTCTTTCCAGCTTATTTAAGTGGATGGTCGCAGCAATGAATTCACCGTAGTCAATTGTTCCGCTATTGTCAATATCCGCCTGTCACAGCAACTCGATAAGACATCTTCCTACTATGAAGTTCTAAAATCGAAGGCAAAGTGGAATGAATAACTAGGAGATTAATATTAAGACCAAAAATTGAACAGTTTATCATACCGCTTCCATAAGATCCCTGATTTCAGACTCCATAAGTTCAGACCCCACTCGCTTTAAACCATCTTTTAACTCATCAAAAGTTATGGTCCCGCTGTTGTCTGTGTCTATCATCTTGAATAACTCCTTCAATCCGCCAATTTCTTCCTCAGAGAGCCTCTCAGCAATAACCTGTGGTTAAGATAGACGGTCACTGTCATAGTTTAAAAATTTCACCTGCAGAAATATATGAAATGAACGACTGAAGCGTCATGTAAAAGTTTAATGCATATGAATTAAGCAACATCTAAAGTCTGGGTTCAAATAAGTCATCCGGGTGATTTAAAAAGTTCATTGCTTGCAGTCTAGCTGAATGTTCCCAATAAGTGCATTTTGAAAATGCTTTCACTGCGACAAGAAACACAATTAAGTATTTTCAACATATTCTTAGCATACAGACACCATTTAGCTTCAGCAAGAAAATAATATGAAGCCTTACACGTAAAGCCATCTTTTTAAGCTTATTCATTGCAGAGAACTGTTTCAGGCGTGATAAAACAGCAGAGTCAAGGGGTTTATCAGGTGCAATATTGTCATCAACGATCCATGGGTGGCCTGACACAACAAACCACTTTAGCAATGCATGTTGTGTATCAGCAGTTACTGCATTCTAAGAATTGCTTAAGCATTAATGGTTCAAAACCCAGTTATCATATCTAGTTCAATACAAAGATTAAAGCGACTTACTAAGTACTTCATAGGCTGTAAGCCTCTTTTTCGGATTTTGATCAAGCATTTTTCTAATTAGATCCTTAGCACTTTCTGAGATGTTAGGCCATGGTTCCGACTGAAAATCAAGCTTTCCTTGTAAAATCTGTCGGAAGATCCCTATTTCACTTTCTGCAGGTGGCAGAATTTGTAGAGCAACATTAGCAAAGAGGAACAGATGAGCATCAAGATAATAGGCATACATCCTCAACTGACATTCCCTGTGCCCGTGTTACGGGTACTGATGTAATGTATTCTTTTGGCTAGATTGATTTAGTTGTTTTGAGCACCATTGTGGTCTCCATTTTCTACATGTTTATCATTTTCAAGTTTCTCTTCATTACTTCTGTATTATACAGTTATTTTATTTATAAACGTTAAAAATCCTATGCATTGCATGAGGGGAGATCTCAGTTTAACCCATGAATAGCAGATAGTTACCAGCCCAGAAAGGCGGCACACCACTTAATAAGATGTACAAAATAACCCCAGCACTCCACACATCTGACTCGGGTCCATAATGCTTGCGTAACACCTCTGGTGCAACATAGTATGGGCTCCCAACAACATCAGAAAAGGTTTCGCCTGGAAATTATATCACTGGGTTAGACATTCACATATGGAATATGTCTTTTTTGTTGACTTCATAGTAGCAGAAAAGAAGAGAGGAAAAATCACATTGTAAGTTCCAGCAATAAGAGAAGACTATGGCTTCTTATGTAATTTTCAATAACTGCCCATATGTTGCTATATTTCTACTCATGATTAGCACTTGGGACTTCATGTGTACTGACCAGGAACTTTTGATCACAATTTCTAGAAAGCTACTGCTGCATATAAAATGTGCAAGCAAGCACTGAAAGCAGGAAGCACCTCTATACTATTAAAATACATCAGAAACATTGAAACAAGATCAACAAATAGCAAATAATTAGTCTATATGTCTAAAGATGTTTATTGAATTTATCATAGCAGCATTCTTAGCCCAGACGTCATTCCACTCCCCATCAGATTTCAGTAGTTCAAAATTTCAGTAATGCAGAACAAGAGGGTCCGTTACTCTGCTCGATTGAGAATGATGCATGGAGAAAAGAAATGAAATTTGAACCCAAATTATGAACCCCTTACAATAAGCAGTGTAATGTTTCTCTCTCATATTGATCAGAATTCACATTTGAACTTAAACTATAAAAAAAAGGTAAAGATTACAAGAAGAATTTTGCTAAAGAACTTGATTCACAAAAGCAACCATTACCAAATTAATCTGAGGCCTTCGATGAGGATCCCCTAAGAAGAAGAAAACACCCAAAGATAAAAAGATCTAAAGTCAAATGCACTCCAATTTAGCAATGGAAGTTAACGTAAGAGAATGATATTATCATTTCTTTCTTTTTTCTTTTTTTTTTGGACGTAGTTATAAAGTATTTTGATGGGAATTGAATTATAGTTAAGGAAATGGGCCGATTATTAACGTTTAGAATGGCGAACGTGCCTTCAAACAAATGATTATTTCCCCCATTTTCTACCTTCAAATGTACCACCAAAAAAATTGCGCACAAATGTGGCGATGTCATCGCAGGATAAATCAGCAGATAATCATCTGCTTTTACAGTTTGAAATGATGGCACCATTAAAAAAAAAAATCCTGTTCACGCATTGGCGCAAGCACTGCAAGCATTACATTCAATATAATGCCCGAGATGTGCACATACGATACAAGAAGAAAAGATAAATAATATGCTCAAGAATCAACCTGGCTTGTAGAAAACAGACAATCCGAAATCAGTGGCTTTAAGTTTAGCATCCTCTTCGACGCTATCAAACAAGAAGTTCTCTGGCTTGAGGTCTCTATGCATGACCCCAAGAGAATGACAAGCTTGGACAACCTCAACAATGGTCCTGATCAACGAAGCTGCTTGCCTCTCACTGTAATGCCCTTTCTGTACTATCCTGTCAAACAACTCTCCGCCTTCGCAGAGCTCCATGACCAAGTGAACAGAGGAGGAGTCCTCGTAAGTGCCATGGATTCTGACGACGTGGGGATTCTCGGACAAATGGTGCATGATCTGAATCTCCCTCCAAACGTCGTCGTAATCCTCTTGGCAGATTAGCTTACGCTTAGGGATTGACTTGCACGCATATGTACGACCAGTGGACTTTTCTGCGCAAAGGAAGGTGGTGCCAAATTGACCCTGACCCAACTTCCTTCCCAATGTGTAAAGGTCAGAAAGGTTCTGGGTTCGATAGGGAAGAACCCATAAGGGTTTTGATGGAAAAGTGACTGTGCTCGCTTTCTTCATTCGATACTACTCCGGGCGTCTATGTCAGAGAACAGAGCCAGAGCAAGAAGGAAGACTGTAAAGAGGATCAAAATTACCTAGGACAACTCAACCTGAGCCTCCCGAATCCTACTTCATAGCAAAGAAACAATCTTTACTTTCTTCCCGATCACTACACTGATTCTCTCTCTACAAATTTTCTCCTTTTTGTTTACCGCTTTAGCGGTGAGGGTCCTGTTTTCTTTCCCGGTTCTCCCGACAGATTTTTACTGCTATTCTCTGCGAGTGTACGGGCAGAATCTTTTTCAATAGATTATTAAAAATATTGATAGACTTAATTTTTTTAAATATTTTAACATTAAATTTAGTTCGTCATAAATTAAAATATTTAGTATACAAATCAAGACAATTTTTTTATATATGTATTTCATATTTATATGATAAAATTATTTTTAAAATTTTGATTTAGTTTTCATCAAAAATTCTTAAAAAATAGAATAAAATACTCTAACACTTCTCAATTTTATCTTAATTACATATATATCCCTTTTATTTTGAAAACCCATATAGACCTCTCTTAAAATTAAAATACAGGTTACACTAACCTCCCTTGTATAACTGATATTTCATTTCCATCTATTTAAACTGTTAGTTAACGGTTAATCGCAACTTTTTAAGTTTTTTTTTTTACCAAAATACTCCTCTTTATCATAAGAATTATTAAACACTTATATTCCTAAAAAAACTATGCAACCAAGAACTACTTTTAATACATGAATTTTCAAACTTTTTAATATATTATAAAATTTATTAATTTTGAATTTATTGTAAAATTTTATAATTTTAATTTTTCATCATATTTTAAATTTCTTTATTTATTTCTTAAATGGTTAAAAATATATATCAAGCACATATTTTTATTTACTATATAGTATAAACTATGTAAGTTTAATAGATTGTGTAAGTTATTTGAATCTATAATTTAAAATTGCTTTTTTTTACCTGTTATAATTTAAAATTGTTAAACACATTTTTTCTACAAACATTTATAAACAAATTAAGTTTAGATTGAAGACATTAAGCAAATAACTATTTACAAAAATAAGAAAATAAAAATAAGGAAAAATGAAATAAAATATGGTTTAATATAAATTTTGTGGATTGATTAGAATGGGATAAAATAGTAAATAAAAATTATTTTAATATAAATTTTAATTAAAAATTATATTTTTAGAATCTTTTGAGAATATTCTTAATAGTGTTAACATATTGGATTAAACTATATATTTTCAAAATAGAAAAAAATTCGTATAATTAAGATATAACTGACGAACGGTCAATGTATTTTACTCTAAAAAATATAGTTGAGGGTTGAAAAGAGTAAAAACACTCTCATGCTTTGGCCGAAAGGGGAAAAAGGGCCACATGCCGATAAATTTTCAGGATTTAATTGTAATGAGTCAAAATTCTGATAAAATTTAAGGAGAAAAAATTGTATTGTTTGATTATTAATATTAATATTAATATTTGTTATAAAACAGTACTATACAAATGAGCAGTGATATTCACTTTATGCGGTGCATTGTTGTTCATTTTGAATTTGATGTAATCATATGGATAACAATTCAAAATCTTTCCGTGAAACTAATTTTTATTCAACGGAGAGCGTTAAAATTAAAGTAATTTTATGCAGGTTTCTATTTTCTTATACTATAAGTTAATAAACATGTTTTTTAAATTGTAAAGGAGTATAGTCTTCTTTTTAAAAAAGTTGAAATATACTTTTAATCTTTTAATTTTATATAAGATTTTATTTTGATTTCTTAACTTTAAAAAGTAAATTTTTAGTTATTTAACCCTAAAATCGTTAACAAAAAAAACGATGATATTGAGTTATTGAATGTTGATAAAATATTACTAAATACTGTAATATTAAATTTAATTTTCAAAAAATCATGATTATTATAAAAAATTATCATTTAAGACTAACAATTTTAGGGTTTAATAACTAAAATATATTTTTTAAATTAAAGGACCAAATTAAAACCTTACATAAAATTAAAAGGCCAAATATATGCTTTAATCTTTAAAAAAAATATTTATACCTAAAGCCTAGTTGTTTTAAACTAATTTTTACATAAAAACCAATGGTTATTCAAAGTAAAATGTTGATAGAATAGAAGAATGTTTTCCAGTGCATCTCCAACTCCCAAATGTAACAATTGTTTATTTTTGTGACAAATTCATTAAACTTATTAGATACTAATATTAAAGGATAGGTTATCAAATCATTATACTGATACTATGTTTTTATTTAAGCTAATGACTAACCAAATGAAAGTATTAATATGAAACGAGTGGCTCTTGGGGAAAAGAAAATAAAGAGAAAAACACTATAAAGTTTTAAAGGAAAATATAATAATGATCAAAAAGTTGACGTGGCGCCATGAAAATAGAAGGTGCTATAAAATCCTAAACCCTGCCGGAGCAGAGTTTAGGCTTTGTTGGTGACTTGCTTCGCAACCGCGAATATGAGCTCCAAGTCTGGAAGAGACAGCAGCTTGGGTACCCGCCCCGAACCTGAAGAAGAGGCACTTCGCAACCGGGAATATGAGCTCCGTCTTATTCGCTGTACTTTCTCTCCTTCACCCTTCATGTCCCCGCCTCCGTCTTCACCATCCGATCAAGCTCACAATCTCAACGCTCTCATCAACCATCTGCTCGCTTTAATAGAGAGTGGGAACTATTTAGGAGTTTTCAACTCGGAAGCTTCCAGGCTTGTCTTCCAGCTTGGTGATGAGTTGCCTTTCTCCTTCGATGACTCCATCGATTGCGCCGACCGCCTCTACTCTGAGTTTCTGAAGCGCGCCGAATCGTTTATTGAAGTTAACTCAGCTAACGATACGGGAAAAGCTTCTAGGATAATGCTTGTGATGTGCATCGCGGTGGCTGCACTTCTTGGGTTCTCACAATGCAGCATTACTGGGTTAGATTGAAGTCAAGTTTTTTTTTTCCCCTCGCAAGCCATCGCTATTATATTGAGGATCATGAAACCCCGCAGTCCCGCACTCTGTCATTGATGAACTTGAATTTGAACTGTTGTAGGCCGTTGAATGGGATACCAAGATGCCCCCTGCCACTGGAAGTGGGGAAAGGCGATCAATATCGAGAGTGGGACAGTTGGGCACGCAATCAGCTTATGTCCGCTGGGTCTGATTTGCTCGGGAAGTTCTCTAATCTTCAGGTTTTGATGCATTCAACGCTTAACCTCTTGGCATAGCCTCAATTACTATTATTTCTTACGTCAACAAGTAACTGTCCAAACTGTCAACACCACCGCACCGCAAAACAACCCCCCGGGGAAGGGGGGGGGAGGAATTGGAAATTGGAAATTGGAAAATAAAGTAATAATAACTGCACAACCCAAACGTTGTTCGAAAAGGTGGATAGATTTTCCACTGTTTCTATGCTATGTTGAACGGCGGATTTGTGTCTAGGGGAGTTTTCCTGAAAATCGTTGTTGCCATGGAAATTGTAATTCCATTTCTTTTTCTTCTCATTTTAACTTTATCAAATCTGTCTGTTGTTTTGCAGTACATAGTTTTTGCTAAAATATTGCTTATGAGGATGAAGGATTTACTGTCTGGAGGAATTCTCTCTCCCATGATTGAGCTTAAAAGCCTTTCTTGGTGGCTTGCAAGGGTTTTACTTCTTCAGCAGAGAATTTTGGATGAGCGATCTTCTTCTTTGTTTGATCTTTTGCAAGTCAATATGGGCGAAGCTTTACAGCAATTTGGCAATTCAGAAGCAGTCAGAAGTTATTGGGATTCTAATTTACGTGCTGGAGAGAGCTCTGCAATTGTCTCCATGGTTCATTTGGAGGCTGGAATTCTGGAATATGTATATGGACGAGTTGATTCTTGCAGGTGAATTGCATTAGGATTTTCATTATTCACATTTGGCATCTATTGAATATATATTCAGTCTTCCTTTAGTATTCATGGATTGTGAATTTTCATGTTATTATTTTGGTGGAAAAATTGTTATTTTCATTTGTTGTGAAGTTTGCCTCCTGGAGAATTTTTCAATGTTGAAACTGGAATGACGCCATTCATTCTTTTGTGCTTTCCTGTTAAAGCTATAGTACTTTATGGTGTCAGGAAACATTTTGAGTCTGCTGAGATAGCAGCTGGGATTCAGCTTTCAGTTACTGGGGTTCTTGGTTTCCGTACTGTACATCAGGTGACCATCATAAACTGCATGATCATTGCGCTTCACTGAACTTTCCTGTAATCCTATTAATATGTCATTTTTGCGCACAGGTGGAACCAAAAGCACAAATGGTCCTTGTTACAAACTCCAGTCAATCAAACAGTGTTGATAACTGCTCCTCAATGAACACTGGCATCCAGACATATGATTCCATCCGTGGTGAAGAAAACTTGCCTTTGCAGCAGAATGATACCAATGAAGTATCTGACGTACTTGTTGTTCCAAAGCTGTTGACGAATGATAAATCTGAAAGTAGGTTAGAAAGAACAGAAAACGGTGCTAATGGAACTGTTCATTTGACGGCAATGCAACAGGCAGTAGTTCTGGCCCACTGCCTTTTACTTGAGAAGAGCTCTCGACATGATGAGATGCAGAGTAAATAGCATTAAATTGTACATGCACGCACTATATTGTACCTTGTTTTTGCACCAGCTAATTTGATTCTGTAATTGCTGGCATGCGTTTCAGGATGGGATATGGCTCCTTACATCGAGGCAATTGATTCCCAGAATCTGTCACCTTTCACTGTAAGCAGACAAAATCTACACAGGATAATCACGTCTTACTTGCGCCTTTTTTTCTTTTAATAGGATGGTGGTTTCCGGTGTTTGGTTTTAATGTGCTGTCGTTGATGATACCTTTGTGGTGTTCAGTCTTGAATTAATGAAGAATTGAACCTTTTCTGTGCATAGTCAAGGCAAATCAGGGCCCATGATGCTTTTATCCTGTCACTTCTAATTTTCGATTTCATAATCTGTAGTAGTGCATAAGCGATAACTGTATTTGATGATTTTTCCCTTTCCTTCTTTAGATACGATGTTTCTGTGACCTCTTGCGGATACGATGGGAGTCATCACGTAGCCAAACAAAGGAACGTGCTTTACTGATGATGGATAAATTGGTATGAGTTGTAATTCCCTAGAATTGATGAATTTTCACTAAACATTGAAATTTCACTAACCTATACTGATTTTGACAATTGCTAACAATGTACTGCGTTGCAGGTCCAGAGTCTTTATGAAGCTTCTCCAGCAATAACAGAAAGAATTCCTTTTTGCTATGATGTTTTTATGCCCTGTATTCCTGCCCTAAGGAAGTATGACCTTTTGCTTGGCTCATAACAAATAGCATATTGATAATAATTAAGCAAACCCATCCTCACCCAAAAAATTTTTGAAAAATGGTGATCAGTTTTCCTACTTCTTTGTGAGGCGACTGGTTATATGATTCTTTGTTCTTTTAACTTGTGTGGCGCGTCTCTTCTTTTTTCAGCTTGTTAAATTCAGATCTTTTCTGTTAATATTTTCATCCCACTCTCAGGGAGTATGGTGAGCTTTTGGTACGCTGTGGGTTGATAGGGGAGGCAGTTAAAGTTTTTGAAGATTTAGAATTATGGGATAATCTTATATTCTGCTATCGGTATGTTACCTTGGAGGAGTAAGAATTAATTTTCCACCTTATGTCTTTTCGCTCATCATGCGTCATTCATGGAAAATGAGGTCTCACGTCTTGTTTGATTTGGTTAACAGCCTACTGGAGAAGAAAGCAACTGCTGTTGAACTCATAAAAAAATGTCTTTCAGAAAGACCCAATGATCCCACGTTATGGTATGTATGCTTTTTTGTTGATAAACTTGTGGATGATTTCTTTGCGAATTGATATGTGTTTTTAACTAGTGAGCATGGGAGAAAGGCTAACTAAACCATTATGCATTCCAATTCATATTTAGTATTAGTTTTTATTTTCTTGCTTTATCTGATACTCCTAGTAGGCTACATTACAGCTTTCATTTTGAAGAGCTGCATTTTTGCATACTAGACCTGACTAGATCGACATTGTGCCTACCATAGTTGTAATTTCTTCAGAGTGCAAATTTGAAGCTTGAAATCATATGAATAACTTCCTGAGTGGTTTTAGATGAATTTTGCTCATAGATTCTTTTGTATAAATGCACTTAATATGCCGGGATAATTTTTATCACCAAGGAGACAATCAAAATTGATAGTTTGCATGATGTAGGATCCAGAAAGGCCTCATGAGATTGATATATTGCCCAGATAATCAAATCCGCATGGATAATCAAAATTGATAGTTGTAATTTCTTCAGAGTGCAAATTTGAAGCTTGAAATCATATGAATAACTTCCTGAGTGGTTTTAGATGAATTTTGCTCATAGATTCTTTTGTATAAATGCACTTAATATGCCGGGATAATTTTTATCACCAAGGAGACAATCAAAATTGATAGTTTGCATGATGTAGGATCCAGAAAGGCCTCATGAGATTGATATATTGCCCAGATAATCAAATCCGCATGGATAGACTCAAAAAACTTGTAATTTTTGAGGCTACAACCTATAAAAGTTGCTGGAAGTGCCTGGAGTCTAGAAAGAAGCTCTTGCTTTTATAACTGCAAGAGCTAGCCTTTTGCTTTTGAATATCAATAACTGTGGTGGAAAAATCATCTAGTTTCCTTTAATCAATAGTTTCGATAGTATTCCTTCATTCTTGTTCTTGTTCCCCTTATTGCTAACATTATCTGATATGATCTATTCAAATTCTGTATCTTGTGGTTTGACAGCAGTGGTTAGTTGGAATTTTTTGCCAGTATAGATAGATTTGGCGGTGGACATACTAATCACCTCTTATTTTATTTTATTCCCAAAATTGATCCTCACTCATGAACTAGCGCTGACTGCGATAATCTAGTTTCCTGTATATCCTACTTGAGAAATCAGAGCAAGTTAATAAAATAAGTGCTTTACGAAATATATTTACTCATGCTAATGACTTACTAGGTGTTCCTTGGGTGATGCTACTGATAATGATGCATGCTATGAAAAAGCTCTTGAAGTCTCAACCAATAGGTCTGCTAGAGCTAAGGTACACGTGTGTTTACTTACAATAACATTCAAGATTGGTTTTTGTACACGTTTCTGTTGATTTTATACTGAGAAATTTCTAGACTGGTTATCGTTCTGAAAGAAAACTGTCTCTAATTGACAGCGCTCTCTGGCTCGTAGTGCATACAACAGAGGAGAATATGAAACATCCAAGATTTTGTGGTATGTGCTGTATGATAAAAATGTCTCACTTATCATTTGCATAACTGTCATAATATCTTTGTTCAGTTTGACGTGTTGATCATGAAGGATTCCCTCTGATTAATTTCAGGGAATCTGCAATGTCCATGAACTCTATGTATCCTGATGGTTGGTTTGCACTTGGGGCTGCTGCATTAAAGGTAAACTGTGATTTCTGCTATGCTTATTATTTATGTACTTTCTGATATGTGATGACAATTCTTTGGGCTAAATGTATGCAATTACACAAGTAGCTGAATGTATTTAATGGGAAAAATTTAAGTGGGTCTAATGAATTTAAATGAAGCCACTTCTGCACTGTTTACTTCTTTGTATTTATGCAATTGCGGATAGTTGTTTATGAATATATGCCATCATTTCATTCGTCTGTTTGGAATCAGAATGGGCACCAATACTCATATTTGACCATGGGTTTTGTAGTATGCCAATATTATAATGTACTCTCTATTTCTGATCTCTGAAGTATATTCTGACCATGAAAATTATACAGGCTAGGGATATTGAGAAGGCTTTGGATGGGTTTACTCGTGCAGTTCAACTTGATCCTGAAAATGGGGAAGCTTGGAATAACATTGCTTGCTTGTATGTATTTCTGGCTTACATCTCTTATTGAGAAATAAGAAAAGCATTGGTTTGTTTTGCTGTTTCAACTAATATACCTGCAAATGCACACCAATCTATGAATGAGATAGTAACTTTTCTATTATTTTCCTTTTGTAATCTATATAAATGTTTGCTGCATGAGGGGTGCTCCTTGATAAGGTAGCCCCTTCTTCCCACAAAACCCTTTGGGACCGCAAAATCATCTGTTTCACCTTGCAAAGAGATAGGATCTAACTTGTTTAAAATGGCAAAGAGTTTGTGGTGGAGCCCTACCTTGGGTAGCCGTATGTAATTTTTGCAGTACTTTAGTGACATTGTTCTTCTCCCTCACATGCCAATTAAGGTTGGGGGTTCCCCATGCTTGCTTAGATCTCCATCTGTGAGAAATTCTAATCATTCTCTTTTCAGGTCCTCCTTTTACCTGGGTATCACAGTTTATGATTGTATTTGATGTTCCACTCGTTATATTCATTCATCATCAAGTAGATTTTTTTCCCCTTCTACCTTTGACATAATATTTGCAATTTTACCTATCATGCAGGCATATGATCAAGAAAAGGAGTAAAGAATCCTTCATTGCCTTTAAAGAAGCCCTGAAGTTCAAGTTCCGTCTTTGACTTCAATTCTCTCATATGTGCTGCAATATTTTTGGATACACATGCATGCGGACATCTAAAATTTGTATACATTGTCACTAGCTCTTTGGAAATTAGAGGTATATAATGAAATAATTTTTATTGACCCTTGATGACAGGCGAAATAGCTGGCAACTCTGGGAGAACTACAGCCATGTAGCAGTTGATGTGGGTAATATCAGTCAGGTTTCCACTCGCTTTCCTTTTTCTCATTTTTGTTCACCAACAAAAGTCTCAGTGGATACTTATGAGTCTGCTATGTGACTTAAGATGCGAGTGCAAAGGTTATGCGAACACTGTTTCAATACCTGATCACTTTCTCATCCTATTTTTCAGTGAATTTGACTGGCAATTATATTTAGTTACTTAAAAACTTTTTTATGTACAAAAATAACTCAATGGTTCTTCACACTTGACCTGGAGACAATCCTGCCAGATGGTTATCAGCTTAATGCCTTGTATGCATTTCTTTGCTACTTAGCTTCTAAATTTTAGTGGGCTCATGCTCATGCCCTATAAACCTATTAAGCTTGAGTGCCAGGCAATTGTCTGTTTGAAAACTTGAGAGGCATGTGGTAATCATATGTTGGCAGTGACATTACTGTCCTTCTGTATATTACTCTAGCCATTTATATTTGCTCAAATTTGCAGAGTGAACTTATGGAAGCCCTGATAGCTTCACTGACTTTAATAAGAGCTAGTCATATAACGCTACTGAGCCGAGACAGCTGAATTTAGGGAGAATAGTAGGGAACCAATATTATGAGTGTGCTTGTACATAAAGATTCAGTGACCTCATAAGACACATACCATTTACTTTGTCAACCAAAAGCATTGTTTTCGTTGATTCTTTATCACTCATCAAGTTTGATAATTTTTTAGGCTTTGGAAGGGGAACAAATGGTTTTGGACATTAGCAATAACAAAAGAGTGGATACAGAATTATTGGAGAGAATTATGGGAGAGGTGGAAAGAAGGGTTTCAGTAAGTCATTCCGTTTCTCCTGTGACACCTAATAATCAGCATAATGGACATCGAGATGATTCTGAATCAGAGATTTACGAGCAAGGATCTGATGTATCTACTGAAGGAAGATCACGGGAAACTGAGCAATTAGTGTTGCTACTTGGAAAGGTTTTACAGCAGGTACAAAATTCCCCTCATGTTGGTGTTTCTTCTCATTGATGAAGAGAAGCACCATTCTTTCCAGCAATCCTCCCTTCACTGACAAAATAGTGGCATGCATTTTGGGTTGCTTCTCTGATTAATTATAGTTAGCAGGCTGTAAATAGCAATCAGTGCATCCTAATTCTAGCTGCTTAAAAATGTTTCTATCTTCTGTTGATTTCCTTTATGATAGAAAAGTAAGCTATGTAGCTCATAGAAGTCTGCAGATCCTGATTTTAACATTTCTTATTCTGATGTAGATAGTCAAAAGTGGGAGTGGATCAACAGCTGATGTCTGGGGCTTATATGCTCGCTGGCACAGAATTAAAGGAGATCTTTTAATGTGTTCTGAAGCGCTCTTAAGGCAAGTCAGATCACTACAGGTATCTCTCGTAACGTTCAAACTCAATATTTAATCAATGTTTGTTTTCCTCAACTCGGTATTTTCCTGTAGGGAAAAGGCTTAGAGCATTATAAGTCAGGAATTTAAGTTGATGCATAACATGGAAAGAGAGCCGCACACCTCTATGCCATGACTGAGAATTCATGCAGTTATCTCGATATTATAGGGGGAGAAATAAGTGTTCGATTATGATATTTTTTATCCAATCATGATATGTTTCCTTGAGACGCGGTTGACTTACATGCATAATGGAAAAGTAATGCCCCTCTTTTTTGCATGCCAAGTAATTTGTGTCCTGCCTTGTTCATGTTCAGTGGAGAGTAACCACTTTCTCCAATCCTTTTCACATGTTATTAACGCTGAAATTGTATCTGGAGTTTCTTCATGAGAGCTTTTCGTAAGTGTTAAGCCTATTTGTCCTAATGATTATAATTCTACTGTTACATGATTGTATATTGTATCAGGGATCTGACACATGGAAAGACAGAAATCGTTTTGAGAAGTTAGCTAATGCATCTTTGGAACTTTGCAAGTTGTACATGGAAATCTCCTCATCTACAAACAGCCGTAAAGAATTGTTTACGGCTGAGATGCACCTAAAGAACATCATTAAACAGGCGAGTCATTCAGTGAGTGTTTTCAGTGGGGAAAATCTTGAAATAATGAGTGTCTGTTTTATTTTCATTATTTCGCATTCTGTTTTAATGTTTTCTTTAGCCAAATTCTTGTATACTGATTTTCATTTCATTTTGTTGATCCCTCGGCCCATGCTGTAAGATTTTTTGATTTATTACTTATGATCCCAGGCACAGAGGTTCTCTGACACAGAAGAGTTTAGGGATCTTCAGGCTTGCTATGACGAAGTAAAAATCAAACTCCAATCGTTCAATGCCTAATTACTACCACTCTCAGATGCAGAGCTTCTCTGGTACACGAGTTCAGGTGTCTCCAGGCTTGCCATGAAATGAAAATCAAACTCCTATCATAGAAATGGCGAGCTAAAATCTTATCGAAGGCATTGTTGAGTCCGAAATACGAAGTTCTAATGTCGAGCTTTCTGTTATCGCTGAAGTTCGTTCCACTGAATCTGCAAGGGTATATTGAAAACGGATGCGCGCGAAGGTCCGTCAACAGAGGTCAAAGGCTTAGTTTCAGCCGGAAGAGGCGGCAGGGATATGACTGGAATTATGAGAATCTGCGGTTTGTATGGATGGCTATGTTGCGTAACATGTTTGATTTTTATTTTGATTCTAAATATAAGATCTTAATTTATTTTGTTTTTTATATTTATATATTTTTTAAAATAGTTTTTTTAATAATAGTAATTTTAGTCAATATATTCGACTAATAAAATTATTTCAAAAAAATAATACTTATTATAAATAATTAATTTAATTTATTTTTTAATTTATTTAAATTAATTAATTAACTTTCATATTTAAGACATGAGATAGTACATTCTTTAAAATACTGTCGCTGATGGGAAAGGAAACAATCAAATCAAATTGAAATAACGTTTGATGGATAACCAAGAGCCACCTTTATTTTCTAAAGTAGGAATGGGACATGGGCATTTATTTAATGAAATCTAAATCATTTGGAATCTAATTTGAATAGTTTAGATTAAAATTTTTTAAACTACAATTTTTTGATAATATATTTTCTTTTTTAAGAAATAACAATTATAAGATTGTTTTTATTTTTAAGTTCTATTAAACATAAAAAAATTAATTAAATCAGAATCATTCAAAATTCAAATCAACGTCTAAGAAAAACGATCAAGCGAAACAATCCGTTTGCGCTCGTTTTCCCTTCGTGGATCTCAACCTCCGCAAGTATAACGGCATCGTAAAATCGTATAAATTCATCAGGACTACCGTGCCTTCCCTTTTCTGGCTCTTGCCTGCCTATTAAAAGTACTACTTTAAATATTTTGAAAAACAACGTATTAACTTGTCAAACAAACATCATGATTGAACGCAGCAAATAGAATGTGGGAAATATACAAAAGACAAACTCAACATGCTGATTACATTATATGAGCAATTCAGCGTAATCATAAGCCCACAAGATCTGATGAATTATCCAGTAAAAATTCTATATATAAATATGTCAGCTTGTCCCATAAATAGATCTACAGCCTACTTTTAAAGGATCACTCCGGCTAATAGGCAAAGAACTGCGGGTATGGCCTACCCTAAACACCTATATTTAAACTAACTTGAATCTTACCTAAGCAGGTCAACGGCAATTAACATAGCGGTCCTAAGGATCTACCCTGATGCATAACCAAACTTCACTGTAAGGCCAGTCCAACGTATTAACAATTTGCAGCATAGTGCAGGTCAGATGAAGCTTTTAATGAACTTGGTGGTCGGAAAAGCTCTTTCATGATCAGATAGTCGACGCTGTACAATATCTAACCCTACCAATCTAAAGCGTAATGAAGAAAACATATGGTGGTTAAAATCCTATATCCTAAACTAGATACTTCAAAGTAGAGCTACTTCGTCGCCAGCATTCCATATACATGATTTGATAACTCGGCCATCTGCTTCTCCATCTTGTCTTTCCATTTAAACAAGTCCGTAAGCATCTCCTGTGAGGAAAGAATACGCTAAATCAACATTGAACTAGGAAAAAAGAAGTGCCTCATACATGATTGCACATGATATGCGCATGCAAACATTACCTGAAACAACATCACCGAGTTGTCAAGGTCTGATTTTGAATTAACAGTGATAGAAGAATCTGGAGTCACATTAGGTTGATCTTCCTCTTGAATGTTGGGCAACATTTCCAGCAACTCACTAGATTATTATCACAAGCAAAAAATAAGGAATATCAGAACGCAAGTGGCCGTTTCCCCCATTATGCTAGTTTTTCTTTTAGTTCTCAAATGGAAGCAGCAAAGAAGAGGATAGGGGAGAATTTGACTTTGCATGCATTACCTCTTCATGTTAGTCACATTGTCATTGAGCAGCTGACTAGGTAGGGCTGAGTTAGGATCTTGCAGGGCAACTCCTTGCTCAAGATTAATCAGCTCTGTACTCCCAAACCATGGTATAAGCTCATCATCTCCCTGAATATTCTCTAGATTGGTGCTTTCAAGCCAATCTTCCCATCTTTCTAAAGGAGGATTGGTCGTGCCTTCCCTTGATGCTTTCAGATCACTCAATTTATTTGTTATTTCCACAAGCTGTTGCTCAACTTTACCTTTCCAAATCACCAAATCACCATACATGCCCTGCAATATATAAAACTTCATTAAACTATGATCACAAACATGAAAAATTTAACCAACTGAAAACATATTTATCATGGCAGCTTTCACATAAAATTCTCAAGGGGTGAGAAATGAAGCTATGTCTAGGAACCTGTACACCCTTCAAAGAAGTCAAAATCCCAGTTAGGCGTTGCTCAGTCATAGCTTTCCACTTTACTAATTCCTTGTGTGTCTCCTGCCAGTAAAGATATGACATGAGATATCATCGCGCGATATTAGAAACATTAGACCATTAAATAATTAAATCAATAAAGTGGATAAACATTCACTTAATCATTCAGCATTCACCTCCATCATATGACTTTCATTTTTCTCTCGGTTCTTGATTATGAGCTCCTGCATATCTCTGCCAACACAACAGCATTTAAGATGCATATATAATAATAAGCATACAAGAACATCTTGATACACAAGTTTCAAACTTCAATACTTCTTCATTTTGGCCATTTCTGTTTGAAGCAGTTTCAATTCGCCAGAAGAATCTGAAATCTGAGGGGGGCTGCCTGCTTTAAATGTAGATGGTGGAATCCAGTATGGGTCCTGCACCCCAGCATCCTGGCGGACCTTATCCAGGTTAGCACTCTCCAACCAATATTCCATGATTCCTTTAGTGTTAAACCACCGCCTAAAACGCTCAGTCCCACCAGGTGCCACTTTACCATCAATGTGCTTCAGTAAATGGTCCAATAGTCCAGTGTCGCCAATGTGTTTACGGGCAGCTGTCCGTAGTGCAGGTCGGGAGATTGGGTTGGCAAATGTTGCACCTTTAGCCTTCAAGACCTCCCACATGCTTTGCTCAGCAAGCTTATATCTACAGTAGATGATCACCTAAGTTTACCACATTGTATTATTAAAGAGAGAGCAGAGATAGAAAGAACCTCACATGCATTCTTTACCTCTCAGATGACCATCTGTCTCTACTCTCATGCTTCTTTGTCTTGAGCTTGCTGCTAGTTTGCGTCTGCTTCTCACCTAATCCTGCTTTTATCTCTCTAAGCTGACTTAGGCTAAGTCGCTTTCTTTTCTTAAACACTGGTATAAACAAAGTTTCAGTCTTAATAGTTTGTTCATCGGCATCTTTCAACTCTTTTGGAATTTCTGAAAAAAGTTGACTTCCATTTTCCTCAGGCTGGCCAATGAACGTAACTTGATGACAACAGTTATCCATCCCTGCAACTCTTTCATAAACTACACACAATCCAGGTTCTCTTTCAGTTTCTCACAACAGCACAGTTCTCAAGCACACAAATCTTAAGCGCAGTAAGCTGCAAAAAGCATGAATTAACAGTAAGCTTGACAGGTTAAAAAAGGGGTTCTATATGGTAATGAAGGTAGTTTCACAATGATAATATGTCCTAAAGGAAAAAAACGGCCTCCTGGCTGATGGTAGATATGGGGAACAGCTGAGGAAGTTGATGGGATATTTTAACACATCGGTCATAAGGTTCATTGAATGGCAATATACATACTCATAATCATATAAATCACATATTCAGCAGCAGGACAATACCATAAATTTCAACTTTCAACATGCTACAGCTATGCTTTTTCTTTCTTTTTGGATATGCCACACTATGATTATAACTTGGGTCATCAAAGGTAGTCAAGACATAATGAGGGGGTGAAAAGAAACCAAACAGAAAATGTCCATCAACAGTAAGAATAGTATTGTAGCTGCCTTCCTTTCCCTGTTCCCTACATTATTGATCCCCTAAAGAAATTTAAAAAAATCTACCCCGGATGCTCAGAGAATCATGTACTTTTTCACGATTATGGGTTTAACATTATAATACAGTTCAACTAGGCTAAAGTGAACGAAGGGTAATCAGGCATAACAAGAAGAATTAACAGAAAGGGGAATAATAAAAAGTCGAAATATTAAGCAATCAAAATTTCATACATAACAAGTATGACAAACTAGTAATACATAAGTGATGGAACACGCCCATGCAGAGAAAACGTATTCGCAACAGAACTCCCTCAAATGAAGCATCAAGAAGCAACCGCATGATTTATATATATATATATATATATATATATATATATAAAGTGCCAGAACGGGATTTTTAACTATTTTATCATGGAAGCAAAACGCTAAATGTACTACTAGTTGTGACACGCTACTCCACAATCAAACAGTGATGCAAGCAAGACCGTCCAAGGCGCCAAGCGATCAGTCCAGCGAAACGCAAACAATTAGAAAAAGAGGGCTTGGTTGAACCAAGGCAGATTGGCTTAAGAAGTAAGACGTAAACAAGATGAAACCCCTCAAAAAAAATTTAACTAAATGTATTATTCAGTATATAGACAATGCGATATATTATCAGCCACTAAAAACCCCCCAGTCCAGAATTCTGGCAGCAATCAAGCAATGCCGCCACTTGAAACATAAGGAAAGTACTAAATGGGAATTGTGGGCGTGAAAAGAGATAGTAGTCAAGGAATTCAAGGGGGGAAGAGCAAAAGAAGAGGGTCGCCGTACCATTCGGTGCATCAGCGAGACATTGCGCCGCGAGACAGAGCAGATAAAGGAGAGGGCGCTCGAGAGGGAGGAAAACAGTAAGACCCGAACACTGGAGGAGGGCCAAATAACGTCAAAAGAAAATAAAGGCGAACAGCGCAATACAAAACCCTAACCGCCAAACCCCCCTCAAAACCCTCCAAAATTATTATTAATAAATTAAATATTGTAATTTTAGTAATTTTAATGTCGGGGCCCACACATTCTTTTCCCTAATTTGGCACGCGCGCAATTATTCCTCCAAGACCCCCGTCCTTCTCCTTCTCCTCCGCTTCATCGTTTCGTCAAACCACGAAGCCAAGCCTGTATTAAAGTTGGCATTATTCAAAAATAAAATAATCGTCCCTCCAAATTCCTTTTTTGCCCGCAATAATTCCCTTAAATGACTGACGAACCCCCAGTATTTTTTTAAATAGAAAGTTCAAAACCGACAAATCTATTTTCTCCATTTGATTATACAAT